ACAGAGCGTGTTGCTGCTTTCCTCCGCCTCCCGCTTGTTTAATATTTATGAATGCTGGTTACCAAACACAAACTTATCACTTGAGCCTTCAGCCAAGTGTCCCCCAGCTCAGAGGCTTATGCTAAGTGGACAAGCAGCCTTCTTCGAGAAGCGGGCTGCTCTCCCTTCATCTCCAATCTCATTCAAAAGGAGGGGGCCTAGCTGGCCGAAGACTTCCACACGGAACCACAACCTGACCAGAAGCTATTTTTGTTCTTACAGTCAGCTTTCACGCCTGAGTGCCCTACCCCTGCAGGTTCAAGCAATCACACAGTGAAAAGTTATGCAAAATAAAAGTTGTCCTCTATGGTGCACGCCTTTAATCCCAGCACTCAGGAGGCAGAGGCAGGCGGATAGAGTTCGGTGAGTTCAAGGCCAGCCTGGTCTACAGAGTGAATTCTAGGATAGCCAGGGCTACATTGGGAGACCCTGTGTCAAAATACAAAAACAAACAAGGTTGATACCTGTATTTTACATGTCCCGATTGCTCTCGCTGTCTACACTACAGTCAAGCAACTTTATCAGGCAGAGAGGACGGGAAGCATTCAGGAGTGTGTGAGTAGTTGTAGCAGCTCCACCATGACGAACAAGGGCCGTACTAAGCCTGCACCGTGGTGTGCAGGGCATTCAATTCTGGCAGCAATCCCTTCGCTGCTGCACGTATGACGGTGTGCAGGAGACAGGCTGGGGGTTTATCTAGGGAGACTGAGATATGGGAGCACACCACTGAAACTGCCACCTCAGCAGGACAGAGCAGGGAACCTTTCCTGGCTGGAAGTGGGAAAGGCTTTGAGTTCGGATCCCCAATACCCGGCCCTGGCACCCCGAACACTCAAGCACTGCAAACAAAGGCGAGTTAGCTAGCGTTAAGCTCTTTGCTCTAGCACCGAGCCATCCAAACTTGCTGAGGGGTGGCACAGATAAGATCCCCAGCTGAGAAAGAGGTCGCACTTCACTGAACAGACTCCATAAGGGCATTATTTCTGGGCACAGTGGCACACACCTGTACCCGCAGGAAGTCACAGACTGAGGCAGGAGAACTGCTGTGAGTTCAAGGGCAGCATGGGCTATCAAATGAGACGCCCAAATAAAACAAGCCAGCATTTCTTTATGCTCTCCGAGGAAGGTAGGTTGCAGGGACAGGTCACAAGGGGAACCTATGCTGAAGCATAAAGGAGGACCGAGAACTGCTGCTGGCAAGGGCCACTCCCTGGAATGGCAGCCTTTCATAGAGGGGCACGCACAGCCCGGCTCTCCCGGGACTGTCAGTGTAGAGCTTAGGGCAGGGGAACCAGGGTTGAGGAAGGGAATGGACTTGGAAGGGGGGAGGACCACGGTCTGAACAGCAGCTAGGAGGCCCAGCAATGGCACGCGCAGCCGCACAATCCAGCACGGAGTCTCCGGACCCCAGTGCATTGAGACGACCTAATGGCAGAGCATCTGGCTGGCGCGGACGGTGCCCTGGGGTACACTCCTCACCACATACATACAAGTGTGTGGGGGGACACTGAGCTCCAGCTCCAGAGCCTGCTTGTCTTGGAAAGGAGTCTAGATTGCAGTTATTAGGTGACAGAAGTAAGGTCTAAATTAGTAAACATACAAACCCAATTTGACTCGGCAACAAGTATTCATATAGGTTACATTTGTGGGTGGTTTCCCCTCTCCTTGATACCGGAAGCTTTTTTCATATACCGCTTCTCAGTTTACCCTCCCTATAAGCCACAGGGGTCAAGACAATATGCTCTGACTTGACTGAGAATATATCTCCTGGAGTTTGGCCTCTGATGCCAAACTCTGATGCAGAGCTGTTTAGTAAGCAAGCGCCATTACTTCTTGGTTAGCAAGACTCTAACAGGACATAAGGAAAAGGCCAGTGTCACTAACAGATGCTCTCTTGGAGGCAGACCGTCACCAGGCCAGCACTCAGAAGTCACCCTGCCTGGGGCAGTTCATCAAGGGCCGAATCACCAGCCGTAAGCAGCATGACCCCAAATCTACGAGCTGAGCTAGAGCACCTCAGCCATCAGCCAGCCAGCCCGGCTGGCCACAGTAGGTGCAAGGAGGCTGAGCTCTCCCCACCTCTCCTCCTGGAAGAGAAGACCCATCAGCCTCTCGCAGATCAACAGCCGTATCCGCCTGGCTCTCCCAGGCCAGTGTGCGCCCCCGCTCTGGGTGGTGGGGAGGGGCCGTGAGGGAAGACAGTCCTGAAGGACTTGAACTCCACTGCTCCCCAGTCCCATGGCACCACCCGAGGGTCACCCACCATCACCGCAGCCTTTCCTGAGGTCTGAGACAGCCTAGGCTCAGCCCTTCCTCCAAAGCTCTGGGCAAGAGATAATGGGACAATCTGCCATGCGGCTCTCTCCTTGGGCCAGCTAGGAACGTGCTAGGCACACAAGTCCCTATTTGGGCCTATTTCACAATAAAAGACAATAACCCTGACAGCATTCATGCGACGTGAAGCCGATGCTGGCATTGCCGTAGAGGCAGCTTTGCACAGGCCCAAAACGTCTCCACTGTGCCCTGTCGTCTAGAAGTGCCAGCCAGACTCACCACAACTCCACCTGTGCTGGGGTCACAGCCGCCCAGGCCATTCCCTCTCCCTCCCAGGCTTCAGCAAGGAGCTGGCTGCGCCGTGTCTTCTGCACTGCACGTGACGGTCGCAGAAGCACTGGATGTGGGCCATCCCAGCACAGCATAAGGTGGTCGCAGCACTAGCCTAGCACGTCTCTGACTTCTAAGTGGGGCTCAAACACATGGATTCTTTCCAATAATAGCTCAACCACCTTCATACATTTTCAGATTTGAAACATATCAGTGTAGCCTGGCATGGCAGTGCATAGCTACAACCCCAGGACTGCGAGTTCAAAGCCAGCCTGGGCTATATGATGAGACCGACCAACAAGACAAAACAAAACAAAAACAATGAACAAAGGAAAACAAACCTGTGCAGCACAGTGGGGCTTCTGACGTTTTAGACACACTACAGAAGGGCAGAGCACAGCACAGCGGGGCTCACCCTTGTGACCCCAGCACTCATGGGCCATGGCAAGCAGGCAAATCTGAAATTTGAGGCCAGCTTATGCCACACAGAGGAATCCCATTTTGAAAAAAAGTCTATACGTATGTGTGTGTGAATCCATGCACACACACACACACACACACACACACACACACACACACACACACAC